CATGGCTGTTCCCGGTCGCATTTGGCCTTTTTGCGCCGACAGGATTGACATGCAGGGATCTTGTCCTTATTGCTGTCCAGCTGGTCCAGGTCCGGTGGGGCTGCTGTTGACCTTGGCGACATTGTGGGAGAGCGATGGAGTCTCAATGAAAACTCATGATGCTTGTCGTGAATTGCGAGAAAAGGACTTTGTAAATTCGCTAGGGATCATCAGATAATTTTTTGGGGGTTTTCCTGGCACCCATCAAATTGTGCCGGGACCAGCTGCAACGCCCCATGGGGTAATCGAAGCTCAATCAAAGCTTCACCAAACTAGTCAACAATACCTCGTGTACTTGCGTCAGATCATAATATACCAAGGTTTTTTCCCCGCACTTGGATAAAGTAGTCACTCGACCAGTACCCATATCCCGGCAAGGCAGTGGGGAAGAGCTGGAATTCGATTGTTGATGGATGGTTGGATATTGAGATGCATGTGCGTACTCCTCCGTACTGGTTGGCGAGTCCATCCAGCCTGGCAAAAGGTCTGTGAGGGCTGACTGGCGGATAAATTGCCGGAGATTCTCCCGTGTCTTTTAACGATCCACTCTCCACCGGAGTTATCGCGACCTTGGTTGAAGGCGTCCTAAAGATTGATTGCTTTACCGCTTTGATGGTGCGAGAGATCGTCATCAGCACTGAGCAATGATACACGAGTTCCTGATGATTTCGTAATGGATGAACATACTCCTCGCGGTTCTAAGAGGATGTAACGACGAATCTACAAGAGTACCTTTTTAAGGTCCTCTGCATGTTGGATCACGTGCTGGCTATTTGTTTTGATCACATGATTTGTCTGCGCGTCCCCTTCACTCCACAGCGTTTCCATCATCCCAGCAGCTTGTACACATTGAGCCTTATACAGACCACTGATCATAATCAGGAATATCCTCGTCATAATATGTCTCTGTGACCTGTGAAAATCCTACTTCGGGCGCATGTGGTGGCCACGGCTGTCCAGTGCCGGTCGCAAACAATGCAAAACTCGCGCCTTCGAACACAAACCAACCTGACGGAGCAAATGCCAACCAAGACGATGACAGCGATACCAGCCAGTTGATGGTCTCATCTGACGCAAAGCTGTATCCAAATGTGTAGGAGAGGGGGTCCGCGCGGATATGCAGCGTCAGGTTCGACGGGATGGAGGACGAGTTCAGCTTGACCTGATTGTACTGTGGTGCGTCGTCAGCTGCATTTTCTATCTTGTCACCACAGGGTGAAGGCCGATTACCTCCGTAGTCCCGTTCTTTATCAACTGAGTGAAAATGCACATGCCGGTACTATTCACACAGCCCGACACTCCGATGTCCTGATGTTGGAGCTCACTCAAATAGGCACTGATCCCGACTGCCTCACCGTAGCCCAGCCCGGATGTTGTGGGAAGCAATTGCGCACTAAAGGTCATATTAAGCGACTTTTGCTTCCGCAGAATGGCTGCTGGGGTGTCCCGATCGCTCAGACCGAAAACGTTAGGCCGGAAGGCAAGTCCATGAGACTTCTTCTGACCATTCGCCCTCTTCAGCTCGTAGATCGGCGCGTACGGAGTGCGCAATGTGTACCATGAGGGACCAAGCGTCCCCTGGTCAAATCTGTCGATCAAAGGCGACGGTGGCAGTTTCTGATCGGGCGCAGGACCGACCGATTCACTGAGTAAGACTGGATTACCGTCATTGATCATCGGCCATCCATCCTTCCAGGTGACTGGTGACATGAAGGTCTCCCGGCCCAGGGGCGATGATCCATTGATCTTACGTCGAGCAAGGTAGACCGCGTAACTGTCGCCGTTGGCCGCCTCGAATATGGTGGCATGGCCAGTGGATTGCACCGTCAGGTTATCGTAGCCGTACGCTCCATTGAAAAGAATCGGATTATGCGGCGCAGGCTCCCAGGGTCCTTCTGGAGACAAGGAACGTGCGATACTGGCACGGTGAAGGTCGTCCGTGCCACCTGCCGGACTGTGAATCGACTGGCGCTTCAGGGACAAGGTGATGCTTACCCTCTGCGATGAGGAGATAGTACCATTGATCCCGCTTGAACATCTTGGGGCCTTCGGGACGAGCACTGGCATTATGCGGGAGCGTGCCATTCCACATGGAGCGATACTCCCCGATACAACGGCCACTGTCGATGTCTACTTCACACTGGTAAATTCCCCAAATACGGTCCTTGTTGTTGTTGGGGGCCATCAGGTTCAAGTACACTTTCCGTGAGACGGGATCCTGGAATAATGCGGGATCGATGCCCCAAGGGTCACCCCAAGTGGGATTTGACCAGGTCTTGAGGTCGTGCGACGACACCCACATCACTCGCGGCCAAACTCGGGCGACCGGGTCGTATGTCCATCGCGTCATTGCAGCGAGGTAGTATTTTCCATTGACGTAGGAGAGTGTTGGAGCCCAGGCACCTAGACGCACCATGTTTAGACGGTCAAGATGTAAGGATAAGCATGTACTAACCTGCGCCCGTTGGGGTTCCATATAGCTGAAGCTGCTCCGGTCTGGTGAATGCATGAGAGAAGAGCTCCCAGTTTGACAGGTCCTTGGACTTGTAGATCGGTGTGCTCGGCCAGTACTCAAATGACGAGGTTGCGAGGAAGTACTCGTCTCCTACGCGGAGAATCGAAGGATCAGGGTTCCATCCGGAGATAATGGGATTCCGGATCGCTAGGATGGTGAGCACCCAGCTCTGGAAGGCTAGCAGGAAGAGAGTGAACCGTGTCATTGCTGTTTGATATTTCGACCGCAGATCATCCTGTCTAAACAAAGCCTGTATACAAGACTCCGTATATATAGCATTTTCGTTTCTGGGAAATACCTCTAGTTGCAAATCCTTGTGGTTGAGCTCCACAATTTGGCTCCTTTCCCCTCCCCGTAGAGCAGATGGTATCCGGAGATCATCCGGGAGAAGAGCCGGTCACAGATAACACAGTGGATTTAGGGTCTCGGCTGGGGCATCATTTTGCCTTCGTAAATCCATTCAGACAAGTCAGTATCAGTCTGCCATGTCTCTTCCCTCTGTTGATGATTAATGGAGCGGCAGATCGTGCTTTCGTGGAGTATCCGTTCTCCTTTGGCGGCAAAAGATATACATAACTGCGGGCGGAATGATATAGGCTTGTATCGTTTATGAAGACAAAGAATCATCAGGATAGTTCATTACTTGGCTTATATTTTAACCATTAAGATAGCCATGTTCTATATGGTAGTAGGTTCACCTCGTTTCACAACCCTGCCGAACATTCAGAAGCTAGTATGCCCAGATCAGTTCACCCCAGCTGGGATGATCGTTGGACGAGACAGCACCTTCAAAGCCTTCGAATTCCTTGGCCTTGGTGGTCCACGGGGCTTTCTCCTTTCTCTTGACCACATACTGGTAGTATATGATATCCCAGATGGGGTTCTGGTTCGTCACGCCACGTTTCTGCTCGGAGATAGTTGCCCAGGGACCGTTGACTAGGACCGCCTCGCACCGGGACCACTTGGGATCGTACTCGACCGTTTCATTCAGATTGTACTTGGCTGCGTACTCGGCCGCTCTGAGCAGAAGATTGTGGCCCAAGTTGTACAGATCGACGCCCTGGCTCTGTCCGACTCGTGCGCCGTACGCAGCCCAGGCAATACCAGACATGGTGTGGCCTTTTGCATATGTCAGCGGATAGTCGGTAAAAAGAAGAAGATTACCTACTTTGATCACGTCCGGCTTCCACGGATTGGCCCGTCTCCGGATGGTACTGTGCAAAGAGACCGGCGCAGTTGTCCTGGATAAAAGCGTTCATCGCATAGTTGTACAGTTCGACATCATTCAGATAGACCGCAAAGCTGAGCATTGCCTTGATACTGGCCATCCCGTAATTGGCCTGTCCAACAACGACCGATTGCCGCGAGAACAGCCAGTACAGCTGGTTGCTGAACCCCGAACCACCCTGCCACTTGGCCCCGGCTTCGGTCCAATTGCCCTCCCAGCGCATGATCTCCGCTGCATTGACAAACAAATCCCCGTCGAGACCAATCATCAGCGAGCGGTCGGTCCCGATGATGTCGGTCAGGTTGCTTCCCCAAGCATCTAGAATGGTGGTGCTCCGATCCCAGTGCGACTGGTTGCGGGTGATGTACCACATCAGCGCATTCTGCCATGCCGCACGAACGTCATGCGCGAACGAGGTGTAGTTGCTGATGCTCCCACGTGAGAGAACGGCGTGCGGCCCCTGCATCTGGTAGCTGGCCTGGGAGTATTGATCGGCGCTGAATTTCTCGTAGGCCGACGCCCAGGGATCTTGCTTGGACAGGACATTGGTCCGGATGCGCTCCAGGTCCTCGTGCGTGTGCCAGATACCGGGATGGACAAAGTCTCCGGGGCGTTTCTTGAGGTATTTGGTCGTGTCGACGCCGGAGAAGTCGCCGACGTGAGGAATGGGGCCATAGACGCTGGGGATGTCCGCCACTGTGGAGTGACAGACGCCTGCCAGGGCGAGGATGCTTAGGAATACCTTCATGTCGCAAGAGATTGCTTATAGTCCGATTTATTTGAGGCCTGTCAACATTTATGTCACGGACAAGGGTTGCTAGAGTACTTATACTTGTTTCTTAATTCTTCCATGACTTGTGGTTGTGGAACAATGCAATATTCTTCTGGTATCGGAAGAATTGCGGGACAAGATGATTTCACTTTTGGGGCCCCGCATTCTCCGATAAACCGTTGCTCAGTCTAGAGTTTATTCCAGTTGAGCTTGTTCTCTGTTTGTTCGTCATGACCGTCGGGGCAAGGCCGGCGTCTACGCCGAGCGCTTTGGTTAAACCATTCCCCAGATGCCCGCATTGATGCCCCGCATTATTGAGTGTTGATCCTGCGCATTACGGTACTGGCAATTGTGTTTTTGGGAGATATGTGTGGGGGCTCTATCTGACAACTATATAGTCATTCACCTTCTTATGGTCACTCGGTCTTTCTTGCAACCTGACCAACATGAAGCTGATATCTACCCTCCTGGTGACCTGCTTGACAGTATGCAGCAGTGTCCTCGCTGCGACTCAAGATCCCCTCAATTACTTGAATATCAAGCCCTCCTACGTCGCGCCGAGATCCTCCAACACGACAACACTGCTGCAATTCATCAAATCCCGCTCAGATTTGAGTACGCTTTCAGAAGCCTTAGACAAAGTCGGCGGCTTCTCGGAAGCATTCGACACGGATGCCACCTGGAAATTCACCTTCTTTGCCCCGAATAACGATGCCTTTGAGAAGAATGTGGGCAGATACTTCACCTCGTTCGAGTCTACTCCGTATGGCCCCCGCGACAATTCAATGTGCTGGTCACTAACTGTCAGTAGAAAAGGCAAATGGTGGCTGGGGAACAGCATCCTGCATCACTATGTTCCCAACACAAACTTGAAGTCGTCCAATTTCAATGAATCTTATCAACAATTCCAGGTGATTCAGTGGTCACAACTCAAGCGCAAATGAATTGGCTGACAGAAACGGTAGACTGCGACGTATCTATATGTTGGAGCTGAGATTCAGGACGGGGATCTTCTCCTAAACAAAGTTGCTACTGTGGTAGAAAAGGATATTGCAATTACACAGGTAGGCTGGACATTTGCCGTGGAGGATGACCGCTAAATGCTCTTCAGGGGATCGTACATATCATCGATCATATTCTTGAACCCTCGGCTCAGATCTTTGAGGGCGATCTGCCTCGAATCTCCCAGGCCTTTATTCCTGGTAGTTGCTCGAACCCCAAACTTCCATATTGTTGATAGGAACTCGGATGGAGTAAGAGTATAGATAGCTACTTGAATTGATTTGCTTGTTAAGTATGCCTGAGTCTCAGCGCAGACTTTTATATGACGATTCTTGTATAATGCTACCGCTGTCTGGAGATGCGATTAATGCTAAATGGACCGACATAGAACGGATTGGCTGCGATCGCCTAGCTATCAGAAAGGCCTGGATACAATCCACATCGGGACTGACTAGTAGTCCCCTGTTCCTCATGTGAATAGGATTAGAACATCCGCATTAAATTGTTCGAAATACTAAACTTGTAGTCTCAACACCAGCGTCTGATAAGGCTGCAGCACGCCCTTGTAACCATTCACCTTTCCCAAAGACTTGTGAGACCACAGTTCTGTAGCCTTGACGGGACCGTTAATTCCCAGTCCCAGATCGGCGAACGAGACCGACAGATCCTGGCCATAACTCTTCTCATTAAACAGAAGGACTACGCACCCGCCTTGCACTTGGCCAGCCCATACCTGCCATGATCCCTCTTCGCTGGCAGTCTCGACATAACGCACCGCTTGGCCCATTGAGTCCTGGTTAAGAGCGATAATGTCCCTATTCTTAAGAACCGCCAGGCTCTCGTTCGACAGCTTCGACAAATCCGCCCCAATAATCAGAGGAGACTTGAGCGCCGCCCAAAACGCAAAATGCGTCTGCTGCTGGTACAAGGTCATATCGCCGTTACCGATCTCCAGCATATCCATGTCCAGCCAGTGGCCCGGTGTCTGATACTGGCTGATCTCACGCATCTTGCGGATGATGCTCAGCACCGAGCAGCCCGCATACCCGGTGTTGAGGCAGTAGGCCGTCTTGCATGCGCAGCCCGTTTCGTTGGTAAATTTGGCGGTGATGTCGCCCGACATGCGATAAGAATGTCCGATCTCTGCGATCCAATTAGCCCGTACATCCTCTATCTCTAGCTGGATGGTTGAGACAACATACTCCCGCCCCAGTGCCACGGAAACTGATACCCCCACTCACACAACGAGTAGAAGATCTCTCGGCCAGAGAGTTCCAGCGCCTTTTGCATCACCCCAAAGCGCACCTGCGGCGGCTCCGTCATGGCCTGGAATCCGCCGCAGTTGTCATACTTCCAGTAATCCACGCCCCAGCTAGCGAGCGTCTGCGCATCACGCTCCTCATAGCCCCAGCTCCCTGGCCGAAAGCCGCAGGTTAAGATCCCACTGTCGCCGTAGAGGCCGACCTTCAGACCCTTGGCGTGGATGTCGTCTATAAGCGGCTTTATGCCATTGGCGAAGGAGGTCAAGTTCGGCTGGAGGTATCCGTCCGCGGTGCGCGAGTAGTCGGACCATCCCTCGTCCAGAAGGATGTATTCGTACCCGGCGTCTTTGAGGCCGAGGGTCTCGAACAGTTGGGCGGTGTTCTCGACTACTGAAGCGTTGATGTTGGACTTGAAGGTGTTCCATGAATTCCAGCCCATTTGCGGAGTTTGGCCTAGAGGCGATTTGCCCGCAGCTGAGGGCTGAGTGTTGAGTAGTAAAAGGCTGGCCAGAGTGACGCCGAATGCATTGTGGTGGTACATTGTGATAGTCACTGCTGGAACGACCCTGGCGTCTAGGAGCGCAGAATGCAATGATTTGTATTTATAGCTACTTTTCTCAACTTGGCGATCCCGGATACCCTCCAGGAAACATAAGGCCCAGCTGCAGCAAAAATGTGGGGTGACTGTTCCTAGAGGATATGCTCATGGCCGTGGAATGATTACCGGAGTTTGCCCGGCGGGTATCCTTGATCATGACTGTGGCTTGTTGTCGACTCGATTTGAGGCTTGGCCGTGGAGGATTGGGTGATCTTGATTACTGAGGATGAGGATTAGCATAAGTGTGTTTGTTAGTTGGTACGTGTGGGGTGCTTATCCCCTGTACTCATGATCCAATATAGTTCGGAGGCGTCCCATCCCTGCAGGTATATCGACGGAAAATATATATGCGACATGCAATGATCAACATCGGATTGGTTGACTGACTTATATTTCGACCATGAATATTCTATCACAAATGATCGCGTTCATGCATATAATTCCTCATTAGTTTACAATTAATACCAAAACCAGGCATACGTCTATGTGTCCTGGAATATATATACAAGAAAGCAATAATCACATGAAAACCGTCGTATGGTATAACCAACCAGATCGCGAAATCAAGGATGATGCCGATCTAACTGATCATTCGAAATAACCGAAATTTCCACCTGTTTCGTAATGCCCTGGTCGAGATGTGGTGGCGAATCCCGCCGACCACTGACGGTCGTATTCGTGATGCTGACGGGATCCAGGATCCGCTCAATGCTGCCGGTATCAAGGGTGGCATTCTTGGTGAAGCGACGCGTGCGACGGGACTGCGCCGTCTCGTCATGTCCCGTGCGCCGCTGGCCGGTCGCAGGCCCGGTGAGTTCGTAGGAGCGCGAGTAGCCGCGGCTGGAAAACTTGCGGACGGAGGAGATGATCAGGGGACGAATACAAGGGACGGAGGAGGTGATGATGATGATTGCGTTCTCGACGTAGCCCCAGCGGATGAGCTCAACGCCTCCGCTGGCGCCGAGATTCGTGACACTGGGGACCTCGTCCAATTTGGTGGTTTTGATGATGGAGGCGACCATGGCCCTGTGACAATAAGTATCCTGATCGGTAAATAAGGGTATGAAAACATACACAAGGCCCAGACTGAGGAGGGTGATCAAACTGATCTTGATGCGCATCTTCAAGTTGAGATTCCAGAAGATGAGGGTCGGGAAAATGGCCAGGAAAAGGTCGCAGGCCGAGTTTGCGGCTGGTACAGGTCAGCATAGGATCGTAGAGACAGGGACGGAGACAGACTGTTCGAGTAGTAGGCAAACTTGATGACGGCGTGGATATCACCGCAGGTGGTTTTCGTCGTGGGGTCCCAGAGAATGCGCACATTGCGACAGATGCTCAGCGGAAGGACGGCCGAGGCAACATTGCCCGCGAACTGGAGCAGCATGACCGTCCATAACGCGATCAGATACTTTTTGTTGTTTCCGAGAATGGCCAGGAGGTAGAGGATGAAGGAGCAGCGGGCGAGGGTGGTGCTGATGGTCACAATGGGCACTTGGATGGCGATGTACTTCAGGACGAGTTCGACTTCGTGCGGTTTTTCCGCTTCGAGGACGAGGAGATTCTTGCCAAAGCCATGCTGCACGCACAGCGTCAGGAAGACGGTGGAAATGACGGCCAGGACCTAATGCGACCAATGTCAGTAATGCGAGACGATCAGCTCGATGGCTCCTACTTACCAGTGCAACGATCATGAGAACATCGTCGACACGAAACTGGCGAATTTTGATCTTTGCAAAGACTCGCAGAATGACGATAATCACTGCGATGATCACTGCGGCCCAGATGCCCCTTACGAGGGCCGGGCCGAGATCAGCTGTGGTCTGTGAGTCCTGGGCCATTGCGGATGTCGACCGACCCTTTGCACTCTGTGGGGAGTTGTGTGTCTTTGTAAAGATGAGATCCAGAAGAGGGCAACAGAGTCGATCAGATCATGGCCTGTGAGGCATTATGGTAGTGCACATGACAAGAGATTTCGACCCTGGGTAAGCATCGCTTAATAATGACACCGAATATTCTTCAGGTCTCAGGAACAGGTAGTCGCAGGAGCTGCCAAGTGTCTCTCAGGCACTGAAAGCTCAATGGCTCTGGCGATTTAGACTTTGCAGCATGGCCACGGAGAGCGGACGATTCATGGACGGAGCAAAAAAAAAGGCAAAAAGATCCATTCGCCTAGTCAATAAGAATCTGGCCAGAGGGAAAGGGGATCCGCAGAAGGTTTCCAAGGATACGGCCGGCGATAGATCGAAGTCCGACCCGTAAATAGGGTTCTGAACAAGCTATATTTCTGCATTTGGGTGGACTTGGGGACCATTGTGTGAGAGGCCAGAGCGGACAATTGAGTTCTTTGAATAATTTCATCGGTCATGGATTGGTCAAGATTCTGATTTGGCTGGTCTGGAGGCAAGAGAAGAGGAGGTGGCCCTCGTGTGGAGTACAACCAGACCTCCATCACACGAAGCTATCCATTCATAGCTTTGCCTGACTCCCGACTCTGAGGTTTGTCTTTGCCGGCTGGAATCACCGCCGTTAGAGCGCAGATGCCGAATTATGCAAGCGAGGAGATGAGGGTTATACTAGACTCGGAGGAGATACACCGGACGAAACTTTAACGGGCAGCAGAGACCCCGATTGGCGAGAAACAGAATGGGAGTGAGACATGCCGGCATCTCCGTCTTCCATTGGTGGCTATTCTCTCTTCTCGAATTTTGGAGTGGTGGGCCAAGTGGCCCATTCTCCACTGCTTGGTCCGAGTCATTCCATATTGCATTTTTGCTCTGAATCCTACCCAGTAACCACTGATTGCGTCCAGTGGAATGCCTGCAGATCTCATGAGATACAGACAGTTCCACAACTTCATATATAATATCCCACGAAGGATTGTGTCTGGATGATCGTCGTTAGGAGTAATATTGCGAACATATCCTCTGTACCCTTCATTTCAAAAACAGCTTGCTGGCAGCTTGGCGGTGGCTAATTCCGGGAGACACGCGCATTTATACGAAAGGCTACTGAACAAAGTCTCATTTTTAATGCCGTTACTAGTACCATTGGAGAAGTTGACAGAGACACTCCAGCACCATTATTGCATCCGAGATAGCTGTACGTGAAACCATGACTCGAGATACTACTCAGTTTTTCGATGTCCTTTGGGCCCGGCTGAACCGAAGAATAGCCGATTCTATTATTAAGGAGGTATCCATGTGTGGCTGTGCTGCAGTGTCTTTGTCTCTGCCAAATAAGCTCGCCCAGGTAGACTCAATGTAAAGCCCCGTTAATCAAAAAATAAATTAAGGGCGACGCACAACGAAAATTCAGGACATTGCCAGTTGCACCATTGTTTCTCTGATAACATCAATTGAATATATTAAGCTCGCTCAACCAGCAGAGCTTTCTACTGTTGTATTTTGTAGCTTTGATAGCTGGCGACCTAGAAGAAATACGCAGACCATGTCCCAGTCTCACTGAGCATGCCTTTCTTCGTTGGCTTCGACCTTCCAGCCCTCATGATCTTTCCGAATTCCCCCACTTGGCCACTAGTGGCGGTGCACGGCCAAGCTACTTGATCCCTGCACCGTCAAGGGCTGATAGGGAAGACGTATGCAGAATGCCAGTCAGGGGCATGTCTAGCGGAAGTCTCGCTTCTAGATGCATGAAATCTGTCTAGTGCAGAAGAATACACACGTGGGACTCCATAGTTCAGTCACTGCCATGTGGTCAACAAAAGCCACTTCGGGGGATCACCGAGCGTATAGACTGTCGAGGAGACACGAGATGCATAGTCCATGGCAGTTCGTCATGATTCTTTTCCAGGTTGTGTAGCCACATTTTCAAGCCTTGAAGCAACTCAAGATGGGCAAATCTGAAAGTGTATCCGAGCCCCGACGACTATTGATCTTGCCCCCGCCACTGCCCGTAGTGGACTCGGTGGTATTACCCAATCCGGCCACCCAGGGCTTCTCTGGGAAACATCGCCGCGCATGCACCACCAAACACGCATGGATTTGCCAGGTTTCCTAGATCTCTCGGCTCGGTGCAGGTACCGGATAACAACGATTCAGACAGAATAATGGAGACTCCGACGGATACGCCCGATCAAATAGTTCACGCCATCTCCCATAAATCACCACCCTGCCTTTGCGGAAGAACGCCGAGGTAGCCAGGCGATAATCATCTCTTTCTCCCCCATCTCTCCACCATCTGGTATAAATATCCAGCAAGCTCAGGATCGGCATGATCAACCGACGATCGTGAGATTCTTCCCATCCGCCTAACTTATATACCTCGCCTCCTCTCCCCTTCCCCACACTTCTTCGCGACATCATGAAGACCTCATGGGCGTTGACCGTTTTGGTCGCGCTCGCCTCCGCGAAGCGCTCTTCATGTTCTCAGTGCCGTTGCTTGCCCAGTGACGGCTGCTGGCCCTCTCCTTCCTCCTGGGCCGCGCTCAACTCCACTGTTGGTGGTCGTCTGGTCGCTACCGTACCCATCGGATCCCCCTGCCACGATCCCAATTACGATGCGACCGCCTGTGCGGCTTTAAAGAATGCCTGGAATCTTCCCCAGACTCAGTATGTGGACCGCGGTCGACCTCCTCATGCTCTATCGCAAGAAAGAAGCTGACCTCAATGTGTACAGCATCGAATCCTCCTCGTCCATCATGCAGACCTACTTTGCCAATCAGAGTTGTGACCCCTTCACCGCAGAGTCCACGCCGTGTCTCATGGGCAACTATGTCAATTACGCCGTCGATGTCTCCTCCAGCGACGATGTGATTGCCGCCGTCAACTTCGCCCGGAAGAACAATATCCGCTTTGTCATTCGCAACACTGGTCACGAGTGAGTGGATTGTGCAAACAGAGAGCCGAGGGAATGCTAACGGGAGATGCAGTTACTTTGCTCGCTCCAGTGGTGCTGGCGCTCTTTCCGTTTGGATGCACCACTTCAACGACGTTCAATACCGCGACTGGTCCGACGCTCACTACAGCGGTCCCGCGTTCAAGGTCGGCGCTGGTGTGATGGGCTACCAGGTGTTGGAGGCGGCTCACGCCAAGGGCCTGGTCGTGGTCGGCGGCGAATGTCCCACCGTCGGTCTCGCTGGTGGATATATCCAGGGAGGTGGACACTCCGCCCTCAGCACCTCCTTCGGACTGGGAGCCGATAACGCCTTGGAATTCCAGGTGGTCACGGCCGCGGGAAAGCTGGTCACTGCCAACCGGACCACTAACCCCGATCTCTTCTGGGCTCTCAGCGGCGGTGGTGCCGGCAACTATGGTGTCGTCGTCTCGGCCACCATCAAGGCGCACCCCGACGCCACTGTTGCTGGCGCTAGTCTGCAGTTCCTCTCCAGCAAGACTACCCCAGACAACTTCTACGAGGCTATCTCCGAGTTCCACGGTCTGCTACCCGCCATGATTGATGCCGGCGCCACCGTCATCTACCAGGTCGCCTCCTCCTTCTTCGCGCTCAACCCGGTCACCGCGTACAACAAGACGACCAACGATGTCAAGGCCCTCTTGACACCCTTCCTCAACGTCCTGGATTCCCTGAACATCACGTACGCTGTTGCCTACACCGAGTACGCCTCTTACTACGATCACTACAACAAGTACATGGGCCCCTTGCCCTACGGTAACCTCGGAGTGGGTGAGTACCAGTACGGTGGTCGTCTGATCCCCCGTGATGTCCTCGACAACAACGCCGCTGGCTTTGCCTCGGTCATCCGTAACATCACCGAGCACGGCGTCATCGCTGTCGGTGTCGGTATGAATGTCTCTCAGCCCGGTGATGTCTCCAACGCCATCTTCCCCGCCATGCGCAATGCCGCCGTCACCATGCAGATCGGTACGCACTGGAGCGAGACCGCTCCGTGGTCCCAGATGGTCGCCGATCAGTACCGGATGACCGACGAGTATGTGCCCCAGCTGGAGGCGGTCACCCCTGGCAGCGGCTGCTACCAGAACGAGGCCAATTTCCGCCAGCCCAACTGGAAGGACACGTTCTTCGGCGTCAACTACACTCCCCTGCTCAAGATCAAGCAAAAGTGGGACCCCAGCTACTTCTTCTACGCTCTCAAGGCCGTTGGCAGTGACTACTGGACCGTTGACGACTCGGGTCGTATGTGCCATGCTTGAACTTGAAATCATCTAATAGAGCCTTTCACGGTGATGATGATGATCATCATCCTGGAGATATAATTGTGTATAGACTTTTTTATTTTGCGTTACGCACAGTTGTACATAGATACAAGATACCAGAAGTGCAGTAATATCGGTTCGAGTTCTTGACTGCATTACCAACCAGTAGTCCATGGCTTCGGACCCATTCGCCTCAGATTATGCATGGCTCGACCAGACTCTGACCAGCGAATGCTTGGCTGCAGCTATCGTTCATCGAGCGAGCAATGGATGTTTAGTCATGACCATGACAATCTATATAGATAGCTGTTAAAATCGACGGATTGGCCACCAGATTCCCCCTCTACTTCTTATCACCATTCAACTGAGATGGAATAAGCAAGTCTCGCAATCATGAAATACAAGCTTACAAGCCTATCTGAGACAAATTCAGTTTTAATCTATGTGGCAGATGTATGCAACCACGGAGAGTCCATTGGTGGTTGACCTTCCATGGATGATGTCACCACTCTCATATCATACATAATCACGACGCACTTCCAGGGTCTAAACCTCGCAATCATTCCATACAGCGGCTCTGATAAGAAAATAAGTTATAAGATGAAGTAATGCGCACTGCTCTAACCATAATAGTCCCAATGAGCACTGTGTTCTGTGGGTTGAATCCCCCACGCCAGCGTATAGGACGCGAAGTCTAGACGCAGGATACTCTTGTGGCATGCCTTTCCAACTGACATAACCTTAATACCCAGCTTAATAGCATCGTGGACTGGCCAGACCGAGTGCCCCGCCGTCGCAGACCAACGAGATGTCGAGATATACAGACGTACTGCAGACGTACCCCCCGTCACCCGTCCTTACATAGTATATGCGTGCGCATTAGTGTTAGTGTAGGTAGCCTGGTACAAAACGCGTAGGGACCCTCGACTGCTGGATAATACTCTAGACCTATCGTACGAATTGTGTCTACTGTCCTGTTAACTTCCAACCACTATGTCTTCTGTCCCAGTCAACAGGCAAGAATCCAAGTCTCGTCTCAGTGGCGCCAACTGATCTAAACATATATAGTCTAAGCGAGTATCACGACATCCTCCACCGAGACAAATATGCCATCCTCTACTTCTGCAATTCCCTCCACCAATGCGCCTCCCTCGATCCCACCTACAACGACATGGCGTCCGCTGTTGCCGACGCCGACGACAAAATCGATTTCTACAAGATCAACATCTGGCAACATCATGACATCTCCGACTCTGCGATGGTGGACCAACCGACCCTCCTCCTAGTAAAAAATGGACGGGAACTCGAGCGCTTCAGTAAGCCTGTGCCGCAGCAGTTGGAGTACATGGTGTCGCAGGCCCTTTGTGGGATGACCAAGATATCGATGGTCCCGTATACGGAGAGGGAGGACCATGGGAATCTGATGTACTGTATCCCGGCGCACAAATAGTCGTTAATGAGGTTAAGTTGTACTTTAAAGTATTGGTGGCTTTTTGAGCGGCTGTAAATCGGGGTTACCCTGTTGTACTAAAAGTGTACATGGTTCATAAATTGTTCTCGTAAATATTGACATTGTTTGATATCGGAGGCAATAACAGCTATATATGGTTCTCTTCGTATGATTCTATATCAAATGTTGTTGCGCAGATAATGGTATGACTACTGGCACTACCGCACAGTATGAGTGTTCGATGCATGAAGCAATCAACATAGGCGCTCTAGCTAGAAGAGGGCCTAGTAGGGCTTGAAACCATAAGCGCTCAAACCGATCCACTTCGGTTAAAAGGCGACGGGACGATAGTTGATTCATTTGTCGTAGTACCTTAATATATCCATGTTTCTGTATCATCCAATTGACGAAGGTATGCCTGCAATGCACTCCCGGCTAACTTGCACATCGTTAGATCATACCCATTGACCCAGGCTATCCTAAAGCCACCCAAAGGTCTCGGAATGCTTTCCACTAGCTTCTCCCTACTATACTGCATCGTAATGCTTTCGACACTGAACATGCTTTCCAGCTGCTACAAAGCGTTATCCGTGAGAGTCGTACCGATCTTCGCATACCTCTCATCGTCCCACAGCTATACCTTACTGGTGCTGCAGTTAAGAATCGATGACACTTGTTGGGTGCAACGACCTCACGAAAACGGTATCGAGGTCAATGTTGCATTTAATGTGAAGTCTATGATTATGCCATAAAAGGCTAAAAGATTACAAATATTCCGTACAACCATCAACTATGCTCCGACGTTTCAGGTCATATTCAAGCAGATTTTGATAACTACTAGCCACCATTAGGCTTAAAAACCTATGGTATAAACCGTCAAATTTCAGTAATTTGACGCGTCCAAAATTTGTAGTTCGAAATGACCAAGTTAGAAATCACGCTAGTCTATATCTGACATGTATACCTTAATACGGAGTAATTCGTGTATTATTAGTAATCACTAAGTGAGCTGCTACTCTAATCAAAAGAGGTCTGTCATGGCTTTTAGTACCTATATGTGACCATTTTCAGCAATAAAAATGTCCTCATAAGCAGTTAGAAAATCGAGCATTATCTGGATGATGGATAGCGGTTAATCGGTAAAAGCTTAGATAGGTAACCAAGCATTCCTCTTAGTCTTTCTTTTGCGATAGCTTCACTATATCAGACGTCAGTAAGATGGTCCGGAGTATACACCATTCACTGCTCATGGAGCACTCAGGGCATGCACATCAGCCTTCCCCACACTCAGGTAATGGGCATAGTGTAAAAGCGGCGCTGATCTGTCCTATCTGGGAAAGGGAATGTCCCAATATCTCCGCAGAGGTACTGTACCTCTCGATACAGTTTGGTAGAAAATATATAGGCGCCGTTAACCATAAGTTAAGAAAGTCGCGTACAAACTATATTTCGCAGAAACAACTAGGTAATGGGCACAAGATCTAATCTATACTCTACTGTATTTTATAATACTGCCATAATCCATTGAAACAAGGGGAACATGCCAAACATGAATACTATTCACTGCCTGTTGGCATTACCTAACTAGGACTAGCCTGGCTACTCTTATAAAGTGGTTTGTTATCATCAGCCAAACATCAACTTCCACCACCACCGACATACACACAGTAGATCATGTCGAGCCTATTACAGTCCCGCTGGGCTCCTAAAACCAATGAGCACAGAACACAAAGCCAACCGCCGCCTGCGTCTCCCTCCCCAGGACGCCGAATGCTGCTCTCTCCCGCTGGAGAATTGTCGCGCTTCATGAAGATCGTCGCTCGCTTAAAATGGAAACTGCCTTTCTTGGCCGAGGGCTACCGCCTCGCGACACTCTGCACAGATTCTCCTGAGGCGGCCGCTCATGCCGAAGTCATGTTCAAAATTGATTTTCACGAGTATTATGCGCTTTTGGAACGGGCGCTGGTGCACTTGCTTGGCGTCTTTGGCATCTCTGTATCGGCTGCGGGCAAGGCATCTGGCTCAAACTCCGTCTGGAGCACGCATCGGTATCATGCCAATGTGCTGGAAAGTCTTGAGGATGAAAATTGTCCGCTACGTTCGGTGTTTAGAAAGGGAAATGTCTTGGAGCAATTGAAGAAAGCAAAGGAACTGCGGAACCGCTGGAAGACGGCAGATTTGACGGAGCAAGAAAGAGAGCGACAGTCTATGTGGTCGCCCGGAAAAGGAGCGACGATGCCGCTACAGAACTACGATTTCGACAAGATGTTAGCTGATATCTTTGACGGCCTGGAGGATGGATGTCGTCTGGCGCAGGAACACGTGGCCAACGTCGACAAGAGCAACCATACTCAGGCACCAATTGACACCTCGAATACCGATTGGGATTTCATTGTTGATGCGATGGACTGGGAGGCTGTATGATCATCCACCTGAAGGGTCTCTCACTTTGTAAATATCATGTACATACATTCTCCATTTTTTCGACGGTGCAGTAGATTCTAGCATATGCATATGTTCTCGAGCTAGACTGATGGTAAAGTCGCATTATTATGTACACTCCGTGCGCCATGCAAAAACCTCTTCGACGATTGACCGGCTGTATCTATATATCGACAAAAGGTATGAATACTGACAAACTGTTAGGGCAGTGTGACACGCTACCATTCTAACTTATGTTGCAATGACTGAGAGCAACAGTTGCGGGGTTGCATGCTTCCTTCAATGCTACCAGGACTGCTCTGGGGAGAACCTGCCTTTAATGCCTTCTGCCATATCATTGCAAGCAGTTAGATGAGTCGATGCCCTTATCCCGACAGTTCATCCGTCGTGTGACCATCGACAAGAACCGATGGTCATAGTGTATCAGCTTCCCCAAGATCAATTGTAAAACTGCCCATCTGCTTCCCCGAAGCAGTCAGCACCCTGACCCGAGGTATCTGCCACTGTGGCTGATTTCTTGCATAGTCTTCAAAGGCATCTTTAAGCACCTCAACAGCATCGTGCCTGAGGTACGAAGCCACGGGTGTCCGCGACACAATCAAGTTCACCTCCTTCAATGCCTGCATGGACCCCACATCTTTCATTCCGTACGTCTCAAACATTAAAAAATCATGAACCTCGATGATCATGCGTTGAAGAGCAGTGCGCTCGACCTCACCAAGATAGGCTAACACCGCTTCCGCCAGATGCACCGTGTCCCGCTCGGGGGCAAGGTAAATGCAGGAATGCGGCGAGACTTCGGTACGGAAGTAGGGTCCTAACACCCGTAGAGCTTCCTCGCGGGCTTCCCGATTGACCACGAGCTGGGCAGGATTGGGATGGTCGGCGCGGAAGCCGCGGGCGTAGCGTCTGGAATTCGGTTTAATGCCCCGATCACAGGTTATGCGAATGACACGGCTGGTGGGAAGAGAGACATTCCAGATATAGACGCGGATCTCGGCTGGCAGCAGGGGGAAGAAGGTAAAACCGGACATTTTGTTACAGCTGACACGTGGCTTGAAGTTGTCCTCGATGGAAAAACCGGGAATATCACCAGGTGACATGCAATAATAACAGGAGTATTGCACTCAGTAAGGTCCTGATTGATAACAGAGTAGTATAGATGACACGTCCAGATACGTGGTTGTGTTGGGCGTCTCATCTAACAAACTAGATCAGAGCCAAGCCAAAACAACCTTAGCGCTATGCAGTCAAGCGTTCAGGTCAGGTCAAACAGTACTTTTGTTGTCAGAATCCTTCTCCATTTCCTGATATGCCCGGGTAGATGCAAAAAATACTGTACCTCGCTTGTCGACAGCCATATACATCTGTCCATATTCTGATCGGGATTTGCAAGAAATCATCATACCTTACTCCACCAAAACATAGAGATCAGGAGATCAGACAAAACTTCGAAAAAAGCATCCTTCTTGAGGCTTAAATATCTCCAAATTCTGAATATGCTCGTCAGCGGGTACCCGCCGCATGTCTAAGGGAGACGCTGTCTCTTCCGACCTTAGCTTTGTCTGTATAGTATTCCTCAATGCGCTATCCAAAAGATGAAAGCTTTCAAAATTTGATGCAGCCTGCCTGTGTCTACGACACGTGCTTTTATCGGGTATTTGCCTGTTTATCTTGATGTGGGAGCACTAGATGCTCCTTTTGGGTCATTAGGTGAGTTGGATACCCGATGCTACGAGTTAGTTTCGCATTCCGGATGAGGTTGAAATGATGAAAGCTATTCCAGATATTAGTTCTCATACTAATGTACTCAAGCATCCTGCCATTAAGTGGAGACCACGCCAATGTGGTCATAGCACGCAAAGACAATGAGGTTTATTTATGCGCCAGTGTCAGACAGTCTGACTATATGGATATAAGCAGGTGCAGACATGAATTCGAGTGGTGGAAGAGAAAGATTCGCCTGGAACCGAATGGAGAAACCAGCCTGGTCGATATAGAGAAAGCCACTCAAATACCGAAGTATCAAGAATCTCCGTTTCAGCCAAGTCCTTGGCAGTCATCTCCAGATCCTATTCCCCAGAAATACCATGACTCGCAAGACCTGGTCATTTTGTGATTTGTGCGAACAGACATGAGTAGAAGCCAAGATTACTCCGGACGACATGCTTGGCAACATGGACTACAACGTGCGTCACTCCATATCGGCCTATCTTGAGCCAACCCAGGGCACCTTCATTTGACAACACTTGCTTCAAAGGGCTGCTCCGATTGCGATAGGAGGGTATGATAGGAAATAGTTGGAATGACCTCACAGCTGTCCCTACTATTTCACCGTTGTGCAGGAGCATAAACTGCACCTAAATTGCGGAGATTGCGAGGTACAGAATGGTCCACCAATGATATTTCCATCGCTCAATCGTGCCGTTTATTTATTCCTTTGCTCTCATTCCGCTGGCTATAAAGAATCGCAAACTCACTTGTGGACATTCGTCTTGAAGACCAGACGATTTGATCCCTATTACCAGTCCCTCACTATGTTGTCAAGCATTGCGGCGCTCCCCGTTCTCATTCCCCTCGCTCTAGCATGTCTGGGGTACGAGGGAGGAGTTCCTACCCCCACCGCTCACCATTCCAATAGCGCCGTGATTGAGGTCGCAGCGGGACAAGTCTTTGACGCCGGGTGGGCCAAGTACGACCGTGGCTCTGGCGCCTGCAACGGCCAGTCTGAAGGCGATTGGAAGGACGCCGTGTTCTACCTCCACTCCGGTGCTACTCTCAAAAACGTTATCATCGGCGCCAACCAGGCTGAAGGGGTTCACTGTGACGGTCCATGCACCTTGCAGTTCGTTTGGTTTGAGGACGTTTGCGAAGACGCCATCACCATTGTGAGTATCAAGGCACATATGGAAATATTGGTCGGGTCTAATGATGTGGTAGAAAAACGACAAGGCAGGCCAGGAGACTTGGATCATCGGTGGTGGTGCCTATCACGCCTCGGACAAGATTATCCAGCACAACGGTTGTGGCACTGTCAATGTGAGTGATAATTCTTTGTCCCTTCTGGAACCAATGCTCAATGTTGCAGATCATCAATTTCTATGCCGAAGACTACGGCAAAGTCTATCGCTCCTGCGGTAACTGTAGCAAGCAATGCAAGCGGAATGTCTATGTTGAGGGCACTACCGCTCGCGATGGCGGCGAAGTAGTCGGCATCAACCTCAACTACGGTGATACGGCCACATTGAAGAATGTATGCGCCGATGCTGACCATCCTTGTGTCTTTTATGATGGGTGTGCGGGTGACTGCGAGCCAAAGAAGGTCGGATACTGCTCTGGTTAAGTCCATTCAAACGTCGACCGGTCGCACGATGAACCAATCATCAGAACAGAGACTTATGACTTTCTTTAACTGAGTGCATCCTCATACCGTGGCGACATAGCTGTAGTTGTGCGATGAATGTGGTGATTAGCAGATTTAGCCCTGCAACAGGCCCCATGTGATGTCTAGTTTATGATCAAACACGGCGTCAGACCAGACAAGTCTTTCCAATCTTTGCGTCCAGCAGAGGACCGAACGTATTTCGAGTGCCTGAGACAGTAGAAGAAGGCGACTGTGGAAGAATTCCCGGTCCGAGGTTGCGGTAGCCTCCAGGGCACCCACAGTGAGGAGCCATAACGTCAATTCTGAGGGAACTGATGTTGGACTGAGAGCCTCCATCGAAAGCCGCAACTGCCGCACATGCATTTCTGTCACTACCGGGCTGATGCCAGACATTCGTCGAAACTCAGCGAGATATAGCAACGCTCCGGATCGAAGGCCGGAGCATACAGGACCAAAGATGTATGCATCATTGCGCAGTGACAAGAAGCGGTGAGTAAGTGGGTGAATTAACCTATCAACCTCTACTGGATTTGACCAGATAGAGACTTGCGGGATTATCTGTGTGTTGGTCCATTGTAATGTTTGAAAAGCTGAGAGCAAGGGCGCCGGAAGATCCAAAGAGTTTAAGCACTGTGACATAGTCTTGGAGGGGCAGTGTATATAATCCACTTCTCCATTAACGTTTCCGAGAGCAGGGGCGATATCAAGCGCGTAGGAACCAATCAGATCAACCCTGTACTTGTTAGCAGCGTGCTGCAAGTGAGAAAGATTGGGTCTGTGAGTGCAAACCATTTAACCACGGTCACCAACTTCTCATCCAATGCCCCCAGCGATAAACCCGACTCGTGAATAAGTCTTGCTACAGCCGCCATATGCGATCTCCATGAAACCATATCTCTTTGCAGATGAGAATAGCATGCCAAGGCAGTAATCGCGCTCAATGTACCCTCCAAGATCCGCTTCCGGCCCAGCGGCATGGCACTGATATCATTCCGAACCCGCGCAAGCGCTTTGGTATGATTTGAGAGTATGAAATGCTTCAGGTCGTGTTGCATGTGGTATTGTGATATATGGGTAGCATATGTAGCCAACATCTGGTCAAAGGCGGCGGAATTTGCGATACATATTGGATACCAGCGGTCTTTGTATATCTGAAACTGGCTCGGGATGGCATCTGAGAACACTAGGCAGAAAAATCAGTTAGTACAACCCAGACGGAACCACAGATCTATGAAAAAGCAACATACTGTGGTGAAGGAGGCGCTGCGATTCCCTATCCAGCACAATAGGACTGGCCAGGAACGATGGGATATGGGTCGACGAGGTGGGATACTCTGGACTTTGAGAGCTCCCATATTGAAGATCAACGGGAGAAGGGGTGGAGCCTGAATCAGATGCTGTTGTGTCGCTCGATGTGCATGAAGATATCGAAGGACTTTGGAACAATGCTGTCTGAACATTCCGGCGGGTGTAACCAATCTCGCGCATGACTCGCCGTCGCATCTGAGATCGCTGCCCCTTGGTCGGACGCGGACGCGTGGGAGTGGTGGTGATGAAGACCCATTCATTGAATTGATGTTGAGGGATAGGAGCCATGGTGCATCATGTCACCTCTGGGGTGTATATTTCGCCATACGCTGTCATGATCGTAAGGTGGCTTTATCACAACTGAGGACTACTTTTTGAGTCGGAGCTGAGGAGTTACATCATTCCCGCTGTGTTATTATCACGTGACCTTCGTCGTGTTCAAGTTGCCTTCGCGCAATCAGTATTTGTTTGATTTCTCGATGCTAGTAAAGGTTAGAGTATGTATGACTTTTGGGCAGAAAGTGAGCTTCGAAAATATAAATCTGATATTTGACGCATGCTTTCCATTATCAAAACATGCACAAACGCAAAACGTTTCTACCCAGATAGCTTGAGGCTATATAATCAGGATCAGACCCCATATTACACACTGTCAGCCTTCGCACAAACCATCTCTCCCTGCATTTCAGTTACCAGTTTCTTCCATGATGCGATCCCACGTTGCGCATGACAGTAAGGAGTATTTGGATCGGGGTCGAAGGTTGTACGGGAGAATAATTCCATCGAAACCCAACCCTCGTATCCCAGAGCAAAGACGGTTTGGGCAATGTCCTTCACAGGAAGATATCCCCCCTCCTCGAAGGCAAACAGTCTTGCATTCCGAGACCAGCTCATGCGACTTGGCTGCTCCGCCACATACCATTCATGACCCATCACCAATGGTGCCTTCAAGCGTTCCCCATCAACAACCTGGAACAAAAACACTCGTTTCATGTCCACAGTCTGACGGAGACGTGCGAGGGACCTCTGCAGCTCTTTCTCACCATTGTAAGTCATCCCCGATGCACTGGCCGGATCGGCGTACACCCGGGCGGCAATGTTGAAGGTATCCAGGCAGAGACCAAAGTTGGGACGATCTACACGACGAACGATGTCCCAGCTTTGTTCCCAAGTATCGACATGGTTTCCCCAAGCAAGAGCCTCGTAAGAGAAACGGATCGGCGGGGACTGGGCCAGTCCTAGATCTGCAGCCTGGCGCAGGTCGGATACGATCACTCGTCTGTTGCCGGTAGTCCGGGGTTCGCCAGTCTCAGGGTCTGGAGGGAGAAAGTTGGACGGGATAAGGATCATGTCTGTGTGCAGGATATGACAGATCTCAAACCAGAAGCGCAGCTTATCATAAACGAGGCGGTTATGCTCGGCTTCATCCAGGACACCTTCGTAAAACCAGAACGGCTGAAGGGCGATGATCTCTAGCTGGAGCGAGGTGCAAAGATGGCGGACGCGGAGAGCGCCTTTGAGGATGTTAAGGCGACTGGCACCGCCAGAAGACTGTGCGGCAAACGTCTCCAAGTCTTCGTAGAACAATTCAATGCCTTTGAACCCTTGATTCGCGGCTTGCTGGAGCTTTTCCGGCAGATCGTGCACACATGCGCGACCAAGGGACATGGACGAGATCGCTGGCCGGCAAGGCATTTTCAATGATGGTACAAGGAGAGAAATACTGCTTGCTATCCTTTTGTAGTGGGGTTAGTTGGTAGTTGAAGATTCGTTACTTGACGGGTGCAGGATCCTCTAACAGGAACTTCTGACCTCCTACAGTGGGGTTCAATGAACTATTTAACAAGAGGCAGCGAACAACTCTACCAAGATCGGCCTTGATCCGACCACTTGTATGCCCGATTAAGACATACGTATGCAAGCCTGCTCGTCATTCCGGTAATTCTAATTGGATCTGAGGACCCAATTCAACTTCAATGACGGCAACATGCACTCCAGGTTCCTAATCTGTCAAACGGATTGACTCCGCAAAACGACTGTCTGGGAAATATGGGGCAGGAGTCTACCCAATTTTACTGTTTCCCCTTCTCTATCTGGAGTCAGACCTAGATTACTATTCTCTAAACAAGCTCTCTGTCGCATTCCTGGCTGCTCTTTCTGGAGCTTCGCTGCTCCTGGAATGTGCAGACCGCATACACCAAAGCGATACCAAATGCAAGTGCAGCCAGTCCCACAGATGACCACAGGGCAGCACGGTACCCTCTTAATTGGTTCACGCCATGATGACTTACTTCCGCCTCCACCGTCCCCGCTATGCCTAAACCGATGGCGATGGAGTAATTGATGACGGTGTTGACTAGTGATGCCGAGGCTCCTTGGTGCTTGACGGGCACTGCATCACTCAAGATAGTAGTGGACGCAGGGAAGGAGATATCCATACTACGGATCATTAGGTTAGCTTTGTCGATAAAGAGCGCTAAGGGCGTGATAGGGACCTTACCCCCAGGCCATGATAACGAACGACCAAAACGTATTCATCCAGTAGGACTGCTCTACTGGTGCCGTACTTTGCAGGATGCATCCACCCAGAAACGCAGCACAAGCGATTGCCATCAGCCAGCCGCTAGTGATGACAGCCATCAGATAGGGTGTGGCAAGGGCAGCCAGAATCCCTGAGATGGCCCCTGGCGCGAACTGCACAGCTGAATCCAAAGGGGACACATGTCGAAATTGCTGGATAAACTGGAACAAGTAATAGAACCAAACACCAAAACTGCTCCATCCTAAGCCGGTAGTCACCAGGATTGCTACAACGCGTCGACTAAAAATGGATACATCCAGTATCGGATCCACGGCGCGCCGTTCCTGGAGAACAAACAGCCCCAGAACGAGAAATCCAACGATCAACAAGACATAAACATAAGGCGTGGACCAGCCGTCGATCGGTGCTTGGTTCCATGAGATATTGAGCAAGAGCAAGCCTGCAACGCCCAGGCCCGACCCGATATAGTCAAACTGGAGTCCCGCGGCCTTTGGGCTGCGCGGATAGTCTGCTGGAATTACCCAAAGGCCAACCGCCGCAATAATGAAGCATCCGATGCTGTACGTCCACATCACCCAGGGCCACCAGACGTACTGTGCGAAGGCCGAACCGATGACCCCGGCGGTAAAGCATCCCAGTGGTGCGGCCACGGCAAATGCTGAGAAGATCATGTTCTTCTTCTTGCCAGGTGGGTAGGTTCTCCCAGCAATTGCGAGCGCATTTGGGAGAAGCAATGCCGGCCCAATGCCCTGGAGCGCTCGAGCAGTGTCAAAGAACACTGGTGAGTGTGTGAAGGCACTGCAGCCACCAATGACGGACCAAACGCCGAACCATGCCCATCCCAGGATAAGGATGCGCTTGGAACCATATAGATCGCCGAGCTTCCCCGCAATCAGAATAAACGTGCCCACCGTCAAGCTATAACCGCCCACATGCCAGGTCATCCGAGTGGCCTCGGACGGACCCTGACCGAAGGTTTGCCCCACGATATGCAAGGGAATGAGGATATAACCAAAGGAGCCTTGAACGAAAAGCTGCGTTGAGCATAAAATGAGAATGAAGAGCCATTCCTTCAGCCCATGAGGCGGTGTCTGGTAAACATCGGATTGTTCAGCCTCTGGTGGTGCTTCGCTAGGCGATATCACAGCCCTGTGACCAGCGTTGGATTGGAGGTCGGTCTTCTCAGCGCTGGCTGCCATTGCAAGTATAAAATAAGTCCTCCAGGATGTTTCCGAGGCAGAAACGGAGGCATTGGGATAGACATGGTTTTAAAGAGAGACACCGAAAAGCAAGGAAACCTGAGTAATAGGTGGCTGTATCAAGTTTACTGACTATTCGGCACATCTATGGCTGATTTGTCAGGGAAGGATTGACGTAGCTTACCTATACTCCGTAGTCCTTGAACACAAAGAAGAGGAAACCGGATGTCCGAAAACGGAAATGTCGGACCTACAAGTTGGTCTAAAAGTGGGGGAGACAGGACACCAAGCTCTCGATCAGGCCTAGCGCCCTTGTTTGAATCCCTGGGCTTCAGTGGGGCCGACAGGGGACCAAGCACCATATTGGGACTAGCGCTACTTCGAGATATGAATAGCCGTCAACAAGATTGGTTAATCTACCAAATTACAAAAGAGACATACAATACAGTATCAGTCAGACCCTATTGCAACGGCGACGGCGAACTGCTGCAGCCAGTCTCTCTAGGCAGCCAACAGTGTCCTCTAGGCCAATACAGCCGTCCGTTATGCTAACACCCTTTTGTAGTCCGGCACGACCTTCTGGTGGAATGTTCTGTTTTCCACCATATAGATTTGACTCGATCATAACACCGATGACAGAGTGTTCTCCAGACGCTACTTGGTTGCATACTTCGTCAACAACAATAGGCTGCCGGCGGAAATCCTTGTTTGAATTCCCATGGGAGCAATCGATCATGATCCCGTTCGGGCATTGCGATTGACTGAGCTGTCGCTGCGCTTGCTGCACATCCTGCAAGTGGTAGTTGGGCCCCGATGAGCCACCACGGAGTATCAGAAAACAGTCGGCGTTGCCCGAAGAACTGATAATCCGGGAGGTAGAGTTGTCTGTTGGTCCACAGAACGTGTGCCCCGTGCCTGCGCTGATGAGCGAGTTGATGGCTTGCGTTACACTGCCGTCCGTAGAGTTCTTGAATCCCACTGGGAAAGGCATCGCGGAAGCTAGTTCGCGATGGGGCTGAGATTCAGTCGTTCTGGCTCCTATAGCTCCCACAGATATGAAGTCACTGAGGTAAGCTGGAGAACTTAGGTCGAGTAACTCGCTCGCAATTGGGACACCCAGGTGCGTCAGGTCCGCATACAGTTGCCTCGAGATATGTATTCCTTTTTCCATATTGCAGGACCCATCGAGATCGGGGTCGTTCAGAAGCCCTTTCCACCCCACAGTTGTGCGTGGCTTCTCCAGATACGCTCGCATAATAATGCATAACTCTGGAGAGAGACGATCTGCGACCGGCTTGATCTTCTGTGCGAATTCGACCGCCGCGTCAGGATCATGAATTGAGCATGGTCCTACCAGTACCAGAAGCCGGTCATCTTGCTTGGTGACAATGGCAGCGGCCTCTCTGCGACCTCGATCTACCGTCCAAGCGGATTCGGAGGACTAAGATAAATTAGAACTTTGTAGGTTTGACGGGTGTAGAAAGGCGCCTACCGTTATAATCTGTGTTCTGAGAAGACGCGGGCAAATGAGCGGTCGATGGTTTATA